CCTGATGAAGTGGACTGCAAGGCCCACGAAACGTTGGCACATCAAGAATGGACCAAGACATGGAGAAAACCCGCGAAGCACAGATTAGTTATATAGAAAGCACCCATGGAAGCATCAAGAAGAATGTAATTAATTTATTATTTAATCTATCAATTTTATGAGGATCCATATGTTGGATGAAGAAATGCATTACAGCTTGACGCATTGATAATTTGTAGAAACTATGTAATATGGAACTTAATTGTAACTCAAGTTTTAATTCTTAATTCTTGACATTCGCGACGAAAGCGTTAATTTGAATAGTATTGAAGATGATCCTAACAAAGGATCTAAACGTTTGCGTAATTAATCTTTTATATATACTTGAATAAATACATACACACCAACAGCATGTGTCGGCTGTTATTGGCATGATTACTTGTGATTTTATTCGCCTAGATATAGAGCCTAGATCTCGTATTATATTTCTGTCTATATTGTAATTAATTTCTAGCAGCAGTCGAGAATAAAATAAAAAAAAACAGATTTTTAAGCGTTTTTAAAATTTCTTCTTTAAGTTGTTTAAAATTCTTGTTTTTTAAATTTAATTAAAAAAATTTTTTTTTTAATTCTAAGTTTTTAAATTTTTTTTTGTTTAATGTTAATTTTTATATATATTTTTTAATCAAAAAATTTTTTTATTTTTTTATTTTTTTATTTTAATTTAAAAAAAAAATTTTACTTTTTAAGTTACTTGTCTTTATTAGTTTTCGTTTTTAAGTTTTAAAATTATGTTTTTTTTATTTTTTACTTTTAATTATATATATTAAAAAATTTTTTTATTTAAATTTGTTCTTTAAGATTTTCATCTATATTGTATTCTGGCAGCAGTAAGAAGTATATATATTTTAAAAAAGAAAACAGATTTTTAAACTTTTTTCAAAATTTCTTTAAATTTTTCAAAATTTTTTTTTATTTTAATTTTTTTTTATTCTGAACTCGACTTATGACCAGAGAGAGAGAGAGAGAGAGAGAGAGAGAGAGAAACCTGAGAGATGACATGATGGCCCAAAAAACCTGTAACTGCAAAATGCTGCCGCGCCCTTTGAAGAAGTGAATGTTAATTACATAATAATATCCACTTTTTTTTGCAGTGTTCCTGATAGAAATCGTTGAAATCGTTGAAATCCTTATTAATTTAACAGATTTTAGTTATTTTAGCGATTTCAACTATCTGTTTCCATTAGGGGATCGATTGCGTATCTTGGAATGAGGTGAAAATTACAAAAGTAAACAAATTCATTAGAATATTCATAATTTAATTGGTCAATACCTAGTAATCATTGCTCACTTTTTCACCTTATTTCAAAATACACAATCAAGCCCCAGGAGCACCGCAAAAAAATGGATATTATTGTGTAGTTAATATCTACTTCTTCAGAAAGCGCGGCAGCGTTTTAGCAGCGATTACAGGTTTTGGGTAGAGCACTATAATATAGATATTCGCATCCGCCATTTTTAGTCCTTTCCGCACTCTTCGTTCTCTCTACAACTTTCTCTCTTCTCTCTTCAATCTTCTTAATTCAGCGACGGAGTGAAGAGAGAGCAAGGGATTGAGGAAAGGAGCAAGAGAGAGTGGGAAAAAGATTAAAATGGCGGATGCGAATATTTATATTAGGCCCTGCGCACAATAGAAGGAATAAGAAATTAGGAATAAACAATAAATAATTTCAACCTATCTGAAATTGGATACATCGGAATATACAGTTTTTGATAGGTTGAAATCGTTTACTCTTTATTCCTAATTCCTTATCCCTTCTATTGTGCGCAGGACTAGTGCCTTAAGGAAGTGAAATCACATGATGCGGAAAAGGGTTGTGGAATAGAGAATGCGTCATTGAAGCAACCAATTAGCGCTATTCGGAATAACGCAGAAGAACGCTGATTGGTTGCTTCTATGACGCATTCTCTATTCTGCAATCGTTTTCCGTACCGTGTGATTTTATTCTTAGTTTTGGATCGTCATATCTTCTCTCAGGTTTTCATATTTTCTCTCTGCTTATGACATGTGCTAACCATAACTGAAAATTACTAAAGTTCCCTACTGACATCTCATTGATTAATCGATTTAGTTCCTAGATTCATCCAATCAAAGAACGTGCATATGAGAATTCATTTCTAACTATTATAATAAAAAACTCATGTGAATGAAAATTTATTTATTAACAAAATACAATTATTAATAATTATGTGCTATAAACCAAGCTTGATCAATAAGAAATCTATAGCCAAAAGCTGATAAGAATATATTGGGTCATCTAAAAACCGCGGATACTTTTTAGATGACCCAATACATTGTTATAGAGATATGTGCTTACAATCGATCCGCCTTAGTGAAACGCATACTCCGTTTTTCCAACTTTCGGTTGGCAGCAATTTGTCGTAAAAATGTAAAATTCCGAAACAAAAATGTTTAAAGGAAAATTATATTGGGTCATCTAAAAAATATCCGCGATTTTTTGTCACTAGATGGTGTTGACCATCACTAATATCCCAAACAACACAAAGTCAAAATTATGATATAAGACATCTTTAAGTTGTCTTTTAGACGCAGAAATCGTCTTATGATCTAATTTTAAACACTTTTTGTTGTCTGGAGTTAAATTCTTTTTTTAATAATGTGCGAAATATTCCCACAATACAATCGAGAATTAGTTGAAAATAAAGAAAAAAATAATTGTTACAAAAAATATACATACGTTGGGTCATTTGTGACCCAGGGATGAATTTCGAATTTTTTTTTATGCCAGTTAAAGGATATGAGGCAATTGAGGCCAATAACACATAAAACTTGTTCTAGATACTAAATTTTTTTTAGGAATAGAAAAGAAACCAGTATTTAACCCTCTTATGCTCATTTCTTCTTCTTCAAGATTAACTTTAATCTTGATTCAACTTACTCTTCGTCTTTTTCTAACTTTAGAACTAGAAAAAGACAAAGAGTAAGTTGAACGAGATTAAAGTTAGCTTTAAAGTAATATTAACTGATCAATCGAACTTTTTCATTAAGTGTCTATGCATCATTGAGTTAAGACCGCAGAATAGACTTGCATAACGCATAACGCATAAGAGATGAATCAATTGAAATTCCTATTAGATTTGTATATGAAAATAAGATCGATTCGACATTGAAATGATATCAAAATGAATATTAAGAACTCATTGATATTTTATACCATTTCAATGTCGAATCGATCTAAAGTTTGACTTTATTTCAATGTCAGCTTTGAGACATTGATTCGACATTGTATAAACTATATCTTTTTGACTGGGTTATTTTTCAAACTTTTTTTGTTAATAACTTTTTAACGAATAACAAGCGACGGTTAAAACATGTTAGAGGTCATTAAGGGTCATGACCTTAACAACATATGTCAAGGTCATTGAATTTTCCCTGGGATTTCCCTGGGATTCTCCATGGGATTTCCCTAAACAGGATATTTACCTTTTTATTTCATTGTAAATAGCACTGCCTTTTTTTACTTTTCTCATCTCCCGCACAAACCTTCTTTGTGTTCTGACCGATCAAAAACCGACGAGCTATTTCCGCGCAAAAGTAATTATACAATAAACGTTGTTTCTTGTATAAATTATGTTTTGTATATATATATATATATATATATATATATTCTTATATTATTTTCTCATAAATGAATAACAAATTATTTTATTGCATATATGTATATTTCAATTGTTTGTATGACAGTACATTTTTTTAAACATTATTTAAAATGTCTAAAATGGAGTTTAGACTTCAAAAATGTATTCCGTGTGAAATTACTCCATCACATCACGTTTATGAGAAAATTGAGCTTAAATGTGCCGAAAATTGCATTTATACTTTTGAGCTGAAGAATCTCAAAAATGTGTGACATAAGTATGAGAGTAAGTAATTTCATATACATTTTCAGCGGCAAAAAATTTATAAAAGTTGCCTATTGTATTGACTGTTTCATGCAAAAAGAAACAGTTATAAAGAACAGAAAAGAACTTAAAACCGTAGATAAATATATATATATATATCGCTTATGCAATTTAAATAATCATGTTTTGTATTTTTTTTTACAATAAATGATGCTAAAAAATAATGCAATGTACTAGATACGTACGTTTTGTTCATAGAATAGTATTATTATTTTCATTTAAATCAAATTTTTAATTGTTTAAATAAATTATGTGATAATTTTGATTTCAGATTCGTAATTATATATAGCGATCGCACAAACCGTGCAGATAATCATTCATTGCATAACCGGTTCTCCCTCAAAAGGTCATATTTATCTACAGATTTTAGTTCTTTTCTTTTCATTCCATCTAATACTTCTTGTATAAAGCAGCCAATACAATAAGTGACTTTTATAGATTTTTTTTATAGCTAAAAACAAATCCGTAAATGAAATTGCTTTATCACATCGCGTTTCTGAAACACTTTAGCTCAAAAGTATCTAAAAATGCCATTTTCAGTCCTTTTAGATTCAATTTTCTTGAAAAAAAAATGTGACATAACAGAGTAATTTCATTTTCAAATTAATTTTCAGCGACAAAAATCTATAAGAATTATTTTGTTCTGTTCGTGAAAAAATTTTAATTTGTAAACAATGTAATGAATATGCACGCCACGCACGCACGCACATATGTATCAGAGAGAATTAAGGAAGAGTGGAGCGGATATTGTTTCTCTTCTCTGATTGGTTCCGCCATTTATAGTGCAACTTCCGCAAATGTACGTGTGTATGGATGTACATACATGTCATACACACAATACTAATGCAGTACAATACTAATTTGTACAGCACCGTATGTTTCACGTTCCTACCATATCTCCTACTCACTTCAACGATGCACTAAAAATGGCGGTTTCTGGGTGAGTCCGCTCCACTCTCCCTCGATTCTCTCTGATATGTATTAGGATGCCGAAAAAAAATTTTGGAAAATCGCAATATCCCCCAAAAGTTAGCTATGGATCGTAATCTGATTTGGGTAAAACTTAATCGAAATCGATTAATATCTTCAGTTTGCCCCTCGACTTTGAAGTTAGTATTTATGCATTTCTTGTACGGATACATGTGTCAAAATTCGAAAAAATATTTAAATTTTAATACAATTTAATATCTGTTATTTTTTGATTGTTAAACACGAATCCGAAGTCAGAAGTACACATTTCAAAATGATGTATCCAATATGACGATATACAAGGTGAGTAAAAAATCCCGCACCGGTGAAACCTCGAAAATTAAGCATTTCCGAAAAAAATGTTTCCTACAAAAGTTGTAGAGTTTTAAATGATCTATTCACTGATCTGGTAGCGTCGCGAAGATCAGATCAAGGTCACATCGATTTTTTTAAATAGCACACCCAATTTTTTATTCCAGAATCTAATAATCGATGTCGAGAATTTTCCACTAAAACACTATAATAAAATTATTTTTTGAGTATTTTTCGAGTTATAAGGCTCGAAAGTAAGGTTCGAAAGTTACAGTACCACTGGGATTAGCATTACGTAAGATATCCGACCGATGGCTAAAATCTCTTGAATGTTGTTCAACATCATGTCCAAGATAACATTTGTCAAGAAGATTTGCAGGTACCTTTTATTTTCATTTTTACATAAAAATAAATTTTTAATTTTTAATTTTTTATAATTTGAAAAATACTCAAAAAATTTGGAAAATACTAAAAAATAACTTCATTAGTGTTTTGGAAAGCTCTCGACATCGGCTATTAGATTCTGGAATCAAAAATAAGGTGTGGCATTTAAAAAATCGATATATTCTTGTCTTGACCTTAGCGACGCCACTCAAGATCAGACTGACTAGATTAGTGAATAGATCATCTAAATCCCTACAACTTTCGTAGGAAATATTTCTTTCAGAAATGCTTAATTTTTGATATATTTCATCAGTCCGGAATTTTTTTACTCATTCTGTATGTCGTCATATTGTATTCGCCATTTTGAAATGTCTTCTGACTTCGGATTCAGCGACCATAAAAGTACAGGTAGTACCAAATTATATTGAAATTTAAATATTTTTTCGAATTTTGACACATGTATCCAAGAAATATATAAATACTAATTTCAAAGTCGAGGGGCAACCTGAAGATATTAATGAATTTCGATGAAATTTTACTTAAATCATATTGAAGTAAGTCCATAGCTAACTTTTGAATATTGCTACTCGATTTTCAAAAAATTGTTTTTCAGCTCATCCTAATATACAAAATGTTTCTTAAATAACGCCCACTAATCATATAGTGCTATTCCTAATAAAAAAAATTGAATCAAAAAATCCTGTACTATTTTGCGATTTTCGCAATAGTTAATTAATGAGATATTAATTTTTAAAAGTTGGCGAATAAATGAATAAAATCAATATATAAAACAATTTTAAAATATTTTTCAGTATTCTTTGTTAAATATTTTGAAGATTTTTCTTAAAGAACTCTTTAAAATATTTTAAAAGTTGTCTTATATGTCGATTTTAGACATTTTGCTGAATAAGTAACTAAAAAAAAATATTGCGAAAATTGCAAAATGATAGAGGACTTTTCGATTCAGTTTTTTATTAGGAATAGCACTATATGGTTAGTGGGCGTTATTTAAGAAACACTCTGTATATACATATATTAGTCACATTCAAAAAATATCATTCAGAATATATTCAATAATTCTACACATTTTCTTGTCGATCATAAAATATATTTTATTTCGTTAAGAAAATGAGTTATCTTCACATTTTAATCTTATAGCTCGCATTAGATATGGAAGTCTTTCGTATTCTGGTAATTTCATCCAAGAACTAGAATTTATCGCAATTGCATTTGTTTTCATTAATGCTTCAACGGATTTTATTTTTAACGACCATGTACTTTTTAGTCTTTGAGAATTCATAGCATACGCAGCTTCAGGTAAATTGAAGATAAGTATCCTAAAATGTATACATTAGTAACAAGCAATGCAAAAAATCAATTGTAGTGTATTAAATAAGTCGTATGTACTCTTACATCTGACTTTCGTTTGGAGTTTGTATATCTTCAATGTACGTCATGTTAGTTGCATTAGATGTATTAATAGTATTAATTGCAATAGGATATCCTCCTTTTCTCATTACAATAACATGATCTACAATGATAAAATTTTAGATAAACTTCAAGTTGCTAATCGCAGTTTAAAAAATTATGAAAAAATTAATGAACATGAAAAATTATTAAAAATAATGTTAGATAATTACACAGGCCTACAAAAAAATTTTTTTATCCAGAATCGACAGTATATATCCTAAAAAGTTTTTGGCATATTAAAACTAAATCCGTAACTAAAATTGCTCCATCACGTTAGGTTTTTGAGATATCTGATATACTAATTTTAAAGTGTCAAAAAGATCTATTTTGAGCATTTTTAAATTAGAATATCTCGTAAACTTAATATGATGAATATGAGAAACATGGGCTGCGGATTCAAAATGAAAATGCGGATTCAACATGAAAAATCTATGAAAATCACCTATGATTATAAATGGGTCAACACAAAAAATAAAAAGAAATAGATATATTGCAAATGTACTCACTGCCCTTAGTTGAAGTCCGCTACTACAACCATACCCTTAAATTCCGCGATCAAGCTAATACGAATTATGCAAGTATATTTAATAATCGTCATTTTCTCGTAAGAGAGAAAAATGGAGCAAAATTCACAATGTGTGTGTGTGTGTGTGTGTATTTTTTACTCAAATACTACTTTACAGAAAAACTGCAAGAGATAAAAATTGTTTATTTTCTTCTTATAGAACGCTAAGAATTTTTTCAGAATTTTTTATCAACTTTTTAGCACTGCATTTTCTTATTTTTACCAACATGAAAAAATACGGTATTAAAAAATTCTGAAAACATTCAGAACTTTATCAGAAGAAAATAAACAATTTTTGTCTCTTATAGTTTTTCTGTAAAATTGATAGTATTTGAATAAAAAATTATTGAAGACTAATTTTCGGCAATTTTTAGCAATTAATGTCTTATTAACTATTGCTAAAATCGTAAAATGGTAGAGGACTTTTCTTCTCACAAGTCATCAGTTTAGTCCATTTTGCCCTTATGCGAAAGATTTATCATTATTTTTCAAACATATATACACACACATACACACACATTGTAAATTTTGCTCCATTTTTCTCTCTTACGAGAAAATGACGATTATTAAATATACTTGCATAATTCGTATTAGCTTGATGGCGGAATTTAAGGGTATGGTTGTAGTAGCGGACTTCAACTAAGGGCAGTGAGTACACTTGCATATCTAATATATCTATTTCTTTTTAATATCTATTTCTTATTAACTATTGCTAAAATCTAACTATTGTAAAATGGTAGATTTTTCTTCTCAGTTTAGCTTATTCTGCCCCTATGCAAAAGATTACTTTCCAAACATCCTGTGCAAATATATATATATACACACACACACACACACACACACACACACAGGGTATCCCATTTTAAAAGATCCACTCAAATATCTCAGAAACACTACGTTAAATCGAAAAGTATTTCAGACAAAAATTTTGTGACTTCGAGGGGGACATAAGATGATATTATTGGTTATTATTTTACCTTGGATGGCGTTGTCAAGATCAGGGCAAGGTCATTTTGAAATTTTTAAATGGTACCCTCAATTTTTCATTGCATATTCTTGTAGCTTACTCCGAGAGCTTTTCAAAACACTATAATTAAGTTCATTTCCATTAAGTACTTTGCGAGTTATAAGGTTTGCAAGTTATAGTATCACCGACATTAACATTATGCAAGGTGTCCGACACCAAAATCAAGGTCACAATAGAGATTGTTTCTCTTATTTTCATTTTTATATAAAAATGAATTTTCAGCAAAAATGAATAAGAGAAACAATTTCCAGTGATCTTGATCTTAACAAATATTATTCAGGACATGATCCTGAAAAACATTCGAGAAGTTTTAGCCGTCGGTCGGATACCTTGCATAATGCTAATGTCAGTGATACTTTTTTGTACTTTTCGTTTTATATATTGGGTCATCTAAAAATCGCGGATACTTTTTAGATGACCCTATATATATATAAAACGAAAAATACAAAAAAGATTTTAAAAAAAGTAAAAGTAAAAACTTCGAAAATTAAAAAAAAATAAAAAGAATATGGAATTCATAACCATTACATTCACGTTCGTAACTTTGTTCGGCTAAGGATGATAACATACTTGCAATATATTTTTTTTATTATATTGCGTGAACTCATTTATAATTATAGATTTTCATAGATTTTTTCATATTGAATTCAAACTCGCAGCCCATTATTTCTCCATTATATCAGGTTTATAAGATATCCTAATTCAAAAACGCTTGAAGTAGGCCCTTTTAATACTTTAAGGAATAATACGAGTATCTCAGAAACCTGACGTGTTGAAACAAATTGGGCTAAGGATTTGGTTTTAGCATTAGCATATTAAAAATTTTCGGGATTATATACTGCTATTTCTTGATCAAAATTCATGTCGGCATATAATATTAATAATTAAATTATTATATATTATTATATCATTTTGAATGTTCATCAATTAATTTATGAAAAATTAACATATTTAAAGATTAAATATTCTTAAGTTGCATATACAAAAGATTTTTCCTTAACAATGTACAGAGAATAACTTTATTTTTATTAATAACTTACCAATGTAATGTCCAAGTTTTGTCCCCAAGTTATTATGAACATACTGAGGACCACCTAATGCTAATTCTAATGCCGTTTTTAAGGAAAATGGAGAAAGTATAGAACTAAGCAATGTTCTGTGTATGTTTACAGCGTGTTCAAGTAGATCTTGCGATGGCCATGGTCCATTATACATAGGATACAGCGTCTTAACACTCTGGTACAAAAGTAATAACTCTCTCGCATGAATATTCTTCATTGGATCATTAGGTTTTATAATCTGAGAAAAGACTTTGCTGATTAAACTTGGGCTATAACAATCTAATGCAATCAAATGTAGAGCAAATTTAATCATAGATTTGTTAAAAATTTTGTTCTCCACTTTATTCGCCAATATTGCATCTCGTATAATATCCCAAAATACTGGTTTGTAATCAGCATTAATTAATCCTTCTAAGAAAATAGATACTCTAAAATATGACCCGTCTTTTAATAAATTTGGCTGTTCGAAACATTTCGCTGCTAAATATTCTAGAAAGGGTATATGAGCATAATTTAGCTCATTCAAATATTTCAGCAGATAGATACTATTGTCAAAAGAAATTTCTGCAGATAATGCTGAATTGACAAAAGCATCCACCAGTGCTTCATTGTAAAACTTGCATCCATATTCTTTGCTACAATAATAATATAATATCAATATTTTATTTTCACAATATGTCAAATATTAATATGAGAATCTTATAATATAAAGAGGACATACTTCCTTACAGTGACCAGCACTAATTTATGTAGCGCCATTTTTATCTCTTGAATACTTAATTGTTTTGCATCACTTATTAAAATCTTCTGAATGTTAAATAACAATTCAAAAGCCATCGGAGATGGATGAGAGGCAGAACATAAGCTACAAAATATAGACCAAGCTGTTAGTACATTTAGGTCCTTTTCAAATTTTTGTAATGACTTCAGTATTATATTTTGTATTTTTGGATTATTAATATTATTTTCACTTATAAGTCTTAAAGATTGTGTCAGCATAGTAATATTATCTGGATCCAATTTTGTAGGTAACTGCGCCTCAAAAACAACAGGTAGTGCTATCGATAAAGCATCTCTCAATGGTGTACTATCCATTTTCTTCAGTATCACAACTGTACTAATTATATCCTGAAGCGATATGTCATTTACATTTGCACGAATCATTTGCAATAATGACTGAGTTAAAACACAGTTAGCTGGAATCTTAAAATATGTCAACATTCTCAGACTATTAATAATTTCAGTGATTTGCAAAAGTCTAATATTTGTATTTAATATTTCGCACAGGTGTATAAAACCTATATGCTGCTTAATATTTTGCAAATCTTCATCCGTGTTTTTAGAAGCTCTAAATAATGTAAACATTATGTCAACAGCATTGTGTACAGTCATATTTGTATAATTTTTTGTTACTTTCTCCAATATTTCCATAGATTTATATGATTTGACATCATTGAATACATAATTTTTTTCTACTGGTGATATACAATCCTCCAGTTGTGTATAATCTAAAAAAATACATATGTTCTATTGAAATATTATATTTATATTACAAATGTTGTATGTAAAATATTAGATTACCTGTCAAACTGGTACTATAAACTCGTGATACTTTTTGTATCGTTTGTAACGGTACTATATAATTCGATAACACTGTCCAATTGCGTGCTATTGGATATAATCGCAGAAGTCCCTTTAAAGTTCCGTTCATTCTACTGATAAATAAAGCTGTTATTGCGTTGTGACAATAATTTCAAACAATTAAAAAATATTAATTTTATAATATGATACATTTAGAATATAATCAATTTCATAAAGGCATCTCTAGGAGATATGGTCATGTCTGTTAATGTTGGTTAATGCATTGATAACCGATGCTAGGTCAATATTGGCCATATATAAATATGCAGTATGACACATATGCATAGTTTGCTATATGAATGTAGGCCATGTGTTTAAAGAACATATGTGGTAATGTTAGAAAAGATGGACAGTATAGAGATTTGAAGAGACAATTGTATAACTGGAATTGTGGTTATTCCTTGTGCATAATTTTTATGTAATAAAAAGAGAAAAAAATGAAAAAAAAAGAAGACTGACAGATGACATCTTTAAATAGATAAAAATTTTATTATATATATAATATATCAACTTTTATAATTTATCTATTTTTAACCTCTATTTATTCTTAATTTCAATTTTTTAGTCATTTAGAATTTTGTTCTATACTGTTTTTCTTTATATTTGAAGTGTATCTCATTATTCGAATAACTCAAATAAACTTTTATCTTAAAAGAAGTATCTGCATAAGTAACTTATTTAAAGGAGAAACTTCTTAAATGTGTGTCATTAAACTTTTACTTTATTTGTCAATATAAAAGCTAAATTTTTTTCAGACATAATGGTATAAATTTAATGAATACATGAAAAAAAATATTCCGGGAAATTGGAAAATTTCTACAGAATGTCTGGATTCGATTTTGAATATCTATAATAAAATTGTCCTGATGGAAATTTTTTCTTGAAGTGTAATGATTGATAATGAAATATTACTGAAAGTATAATGAACAAAAACGAAATATTACTGCAATTATAACTTAAATTATAATCTTACAATATAAATTCGTGTGTTAAAGCATTTGTAAAGCAGTGTGCTAATTATAAATGAACAACTGGTGTATAATCTCCAATTGAGAATAAAAGGTTAGAAACACTTAAATGTCATTTGTGTACTTACGCAATTGCTAGTCTCTATTTTGTACTGTGAAAAATTATGAACGATACTAGCGGCGTTACACAATACAAAATTGGTTAACTAGATAATTTATTATTTCTAAATTATACATAAACATGCTTCAATTATAATAACTGCATTTATGGTGCATATACAATTTAAGGCGCTTTTCATACTGATGCTCGACCAAAGTTTAAGGGACCGTTCACATCTTGGCGGAAAAGCATCTTCTTCTTCTTGTTTGATGTTAATTGGTCCTTGCCGCGGAGTAGCAGCAATTCCGACCAGAGTGAATCTATAGCTGAAAGTGCTGAAACAAGTAACCAGGCGGGGGCACTGCCTGGGAGAAGAGGAGAAAAACAAAATTCCCCACTCCTCCCTTAAAACAAAGACATATTCATAGAAATCAGAGGATAGAAATCTTTAAACTGAGGTTTAAAGATTTGAGATATGCAGTAATTAAACACAAGATAGGGGGGGGGGGGGTGACGGGAAGTGTTTTTTCAGGTAATCACGAAATTTAGTCGATTTATGAATACAAAGTTTGCAATAAAATAGAATATGATTAATGTTCTGATTTGGGTCACCACAGGGACAGCAGGCGAATTGACAATATTTTTACGATCCAGGATGCTAGATTATGTATGCTAGATTATAATGGTTAGATCTAATTCTGGAGATGGTGACGATCTCCTCTCTTTTAAGATTCTTATGATAGAACCAAGGCTTAGCTGAGTTACTTCTATGAAAATCATCATATAGCTGCCCTTTAAATGTTGCGCAGTGATCTAAGTGTGCTTGAAATTTAGTGTTGAGGGATTGCTTGGAGATCATAAAAAGGTCTTGAAATGGTATTTTAAATTTAGGTCGGTGTCCACTAAGGGCGGCTTCGTTGGCAAGATGGTCTGTGGTCTCGTTACCGATTATACCTTTATGACCAGGAGTCCAAATAAAATTAATTTTGAAATCATGTTGCGTTAAAAAGGACAGACGATCCTTAATATCTAATGTAATATGGTTCGCATTTCTAGAGTTGTAAGACGATATAGCCTGAAGAGCACTTAAAGAGTTAGAACAGATGGAAACCTCGTCACAACATCTTCAATATCGATCTTCAATAAGATTAATCGCCTGAAGAATAGCCCAAGACTCGGCCGAGAAAATTGAAGTCTCCGGGGGAAGCTTAAACTTGAGTGCAACGTTAAGATCTGAATAGATTACGAAGCCCACGCGATCCTCGCTAACAGACTTAGAGCCATCGGTGTAAATAATGGGACCACGATTGGCGTATGTGGTTATAGTTTCTAGGAATCGGGCTTGGTATATTCGGTTATTCGCTTTCTTAGGAACATTGGTGAGGGAACTGTCAAATTGATGGACATAAGTACAGCTTTCATAACTGTGTTTATAAGCATAAAGCATGTTGGATCTGCGGATGATTTTAAGTGAGTATTTCTGTATTACATAGTACTTGAACGCAGGTAGCTAGGGCCCGTTGTCTTCTTGAGGGAGAGTATGCAGCCTGTTCCAAACTTTCAAAGCTGTGCAGCACTGGGGAGTTCTTCCTGGAGAAAGCCTTATAGATGAACTTCGAGGTCATATAGTCAAATCTGATGTTAAGAGGGGTTTCCTTTGCTTCGGCCACAATGAGGTGTAGTAGGTGTAGATAGTCGATATCCGAGAGCAAGACGCAGGTTTCTGTTGAACTAACTTTTCTAGTTGTAAAAATTCAGTCTTGCCCTTGAGCTTGAACACTTGACATCCGTATTCGATAGAGCGAAAAACAGCTCTATAAAGGGTAAGAAGTAAGCTTGGATGAGATCCCCATTTAGTACTTACGAGAACAACTGGTATATTAGTAAAATTGCGTCCCTTATTGACCAAGGTCTTTAGGTGCTCTTTGTCGTTCAATTTGGGGTCGAGATTGAAGCCCAGAAAGATGGCAGATTGTACTCTAGGAATTTCTACGTTCTGAATGTGTAGTTTAATATCCGGATGTGACTGTCTCTTCCTTGTAAAGAGCATCCATTGGGTTTTTGAGGGGGAAACTTCCAAGCCCTTGTTTCTCAAGTAAGCATATATATTATTTAGTGAAGATTGGACCGACGATCTAGCATCTTCAACGTTTTGGTTTGAGAAGATAACGACGTCGTCCGCATATTGTAAGAGAAGGGTGTCCTCATGTAGACATTTATTAATATATGCACAGTAGAGGTTGAAGAGCAAAGGGCTAAGAATGGACCCTTGAGGGGTATCTTTCAAAGCAATGTATGGACCTTTAAGCACGCCATCACAAATGAACATGATTTGTCTGTAGGAAAGAAGGTTACTTATGAATTTAACGGTTTTGGACGGGATCTCAAAACGTTGTAAATCTTTTATTAAAATAGAAGGAATCACATTGTCGAACGCTCTCTCGATGTCCAAAAACGCACATATAGTAAGGGCGTTATTAATGAAGGCGCCCTGAATATAATTTGTCAGAGCAACAAGATTGTCAGAGCAGGCACACTGGGGGCGGAAGTCTGTTTGGTTAAGCGGCAGTATGGCATTAGATTCAGTAAACCACTTCAACCTCAGATAGATAATTTTTTCCATAATCTTTAAGAGGCACGAGAGAAGAGAAATCGGTCTGACACCTTTTCTATTTGGTTTAGGGATAAGGACGACGATTGACTTATTCCATTCCGCAGGGAAAATTCCTTGACAAAAAAGATTGTTATAGATTTGTAATAGCACGGAAAGACTATCCGGTGTTAAGTTCTTAATGATGTTATAGTCAATCTGGTCGGCCCCTGGAGCTGATTTAGTTTTGGCTGAATCAATAGCTAAGAGTAACTCCTTCATAGTAAAAGGATTGTCCAAGAATTTAGCGCTTTCGCTCTGAATGGGTATTTCCTTCAAGAAGGATACACTCTGAGACGGTATCTCGAGACTACAAGAGGGAGTACAGATTTTATTAATTTCATTTTCCTGTGCAGCCGACAGCGACTGGCCAGATGACATAACGGAAGCTAAACGTCGGTTTTTAAAACTTTGACCAACCTCCAAATTTTAGCAGACGGAATATGAGTGTTAAAACTGTTGCATAGTTCCTTCCATTTCCTTCTCTTGGTTCTTCTGAGGACGCATCTACATGCCGAAGCAGTGCGCTTATAAGCGTTATAGTTTTCTGAACTTGGCTAGCGGCTCCCGAGTCTCTTTGTCTCGCGTCTGGGGGCAACCGCGGTTCCAGAGTCTCTTTGCCTCGCATCTGGCGTCAACCGCGGCCTGACATTCTTCGGTCCACCAAGGAGGGGGGGGAGACGTTTTTCAACCATCGGTTTTGATTTCGGAGTATGTGATCCAGGAGAGAACAGAGAGTTTAGGGTGCCTTTGAGCTCTTTTACAAAACTATCATATTGAGAGGTAGCATCGTCTATCGTTACTAAAATAGAGGCAAAGTCAATACAAGTTAACTTGTGAATAAAGACCTTGAAGAGAATTAAGTTTAATTTTATACTTAAATGTAGTTTTTATGCAAGGAAGAATATTCAGGTTAATAACAATAGAAATTGATCACTAGAAATGGAGTTGAGTTCTGTATAACAGTTACTAAGAGTCAGGACAGGAGGTATTACGACAATAAGATCGATGACTGATATTTGCGAGTCGGGAGGAGTCAAAAGGGTAGGTTTATGATCGTTGCAGATAATAAGATGACGATCTTCGAGGAAGTTTAAAAGACATCTACCAAGAGAATCAGTAATCGAACAGCCCCAAGGTACATTATGCAAGTTGAAATCGCCTAGGAGGATGGCATAGGATTGATTCGCAACATAATCAAGCAGGCCCTCAATAACCATAGGAGGAGTTCATGACGACGGATGTCTGTATGTTAATAATGATAAAGGAGGGACCTTGAGTGTAAAGCTTGATACCGATGAGCTCGATTGAATGATGGCCAAGATGAGTAAGGTCAAGAAGATCGAAACGGAGAGATTTTTTAATAGCAATAGCTACCCCGTGTTGGCCGAGGCGGCGGATGTCACCTGTAACAAAATTAAAGATGTTAGAATGTAAGTAAGTATTTTCGGTGACCATAATCTCTTGGAGACACCAGAGATCGTATATGTAATCATTAGCCTGAATTTCCGGAAGCTTCCCCCGTAAACCCCTACAATTCCAATTAGCAATAGAAACAGGCTTGTTAGGAGACATAAGTAAAATTGGGTTATGAAAGTGAAAAGTGATTTAAAATAAAGTAACAGAAAAATTAGTAATAATTGTAAGCGCGATCGTTAGAAACAGCGGGAGGGTCAGCTTGATGATTATCATAATAAGTGCGCGGGTCGTCATAATCAATCGGCTGTCGGTAGAAGCGAGGAGGGTGCGGTTCTATATATGAGCTTATATGGTTTAAAAATTGTTTAAGGAGCACAGAGAACATGGCCACATCTATCTTCCGGCAGGAAGGGCATCATGTTCGTAATGATAGTTATCTCGTGGATGATTAGCTCGATCATGATTGAGAAGGACGCCGTCTCTCGATATATTGAGAGATCTGCCGTTCGGAGATATCAGATATTCCCTCCTGACTTCTTCCAATGACTTAGAGTTATTATTAGTATTATTAGTATTACGAGAGGGAATGACTTGGATATCAGGGAGGTTCTGTACGAGTTTATAGTTATTTCGCGACGAAGATGGGAGAGGGAATTGTAGTCGGGAAACATCTGCTCTCTGATGTAGGGACTGAGGATGTTCGGATGAAGTGCGAGGAATAGAACTTTTAGCAGAGACTTTGGCGTACGATAATCTAGAGATGTCTGCATTTTCTAGAGGGGAAAACTTATTATAACTGGCGAACGAATGAGGGATACATTCTTTGGTGGAAGTAAAGGGAAATTATGATAATCATCATCCGCAAAGTGAACACTACCGGTACTACCTAAGTCAGCACTGGATCTAAAAATAGATCGAGAGTCAATAGACGATAGCCTACTCCTAGCATCCACAAGAGAGATATTTTCGGTGGCTGCGATCGTACTTTTTTCTGTTTGATAAAAAGAGGGCAATTTGTCGACGTAGCGATATGATCTCCAGAGCAATTGATATACTTGGGGGGGGGGAGGGGGGAGATTTTGCCTCTCATATGTCTCGTCCTCTCTGTGAGCATCTTTACCACAGCCTGCATCTCGTCGAATCTTACAAAACTTTCGGATGTGACCAACCCTGAAGCAAGAAAAGCACGTTTTGACTCTAGGGACAAAAGGTAAAACCTCGTGAGAATCGTAGAAAAGA